CTAAAAATATAAAATTTTAAATAAAATAAAATCAAAAAAACGACGTCATAAAAATGTATGTAGTTATTGAAAAGTTAGGTCTCATCTATAAAATATTAAAATTAAAATAAAACTTGCTTCTTGGTAAAGATAACAAGAAGAAAGCCTAAAAATTACAAACTACACATTATTATAAATATGATATAATTGCAGTGACGTCCATGGACACTTTTATAAAATGGATAGGGTGAGTTCATACATGTATACACATTTATGTATTTTTCTAGTGTGATATAAATGTGACGGCTAGTATTAGGAGAATGGCTAAACTGAAGTTTAGCCGGCTAATCACAAGTTTAGCCATTGCGTTTGGCTAATATCTAAATTTCGAACTTTTTCCACCAATATTTAACATACAAATAATTAAACAGTTTGTCATAAAAAATTCTTTCATTTCTTTTCTTATTTAATAATATTTAATAATATCAATCTTATTTAATAATATTATAGATTATGGAATAATTTTAATAATAATAGAGTACAATCATTAATAAGAATTATTTAGTCAATGATAATATGTACCTATTTATATTATATAGATTTACGGCCACTTTTCATGACAATGGTAATGTAATTCATGGCATGACTATTTTTACTCAATAGTCTGAGAATATTGAATACTTTTCCCGAGAACGATGGGACCCCTATCAATAGTTAATACCGAGATATATATATATTATGGTCTCATCTAAAAATTCTTCGACATTTTTATTTTCATATTTTTTTAAATTCCATGAACTTATTATCGAATGCGATATTTTACAAAAATATTTTTCTGATCTTGAAAATCAAAATTCATTTAATTGGGATATGCGAAAAAATAATATGTTAATTTCATGTTAATTTGTAAGAAAATGAGTTAAGTTAATAAGTTAAGTTAATTTATTAGTAATGAAATAAGTTAATTTAACTTAACTTTTAACTTAGTAACTCCTAGGCTTAAAAACAAGATATACCTACAAATTACTTCAAACTAGTATCTTAACTTCCTATAAACTTGAGTCGGTAATTGCGGTAATTGCGGTAGATTATTACGGACTGACTCTATCGAGCAGACAATATTATATGCAATTGCATGCATATGCATTTTGAAATCAATATCAATTTTAAAATAATATCAAAATGCACACAACTATGTAGAATATTTTTATTATTAAAAATATTTTACTTACCACGTGCATGGCTAACCTCTATACAATTACCTAATATATCAGTATTCATTAAAAATTAAATTTTCAAAATATTGTATTATTATTGTAAATAGTTTTAAATTTTTAATTTACTTATGGCTAATGTTATTTAGTCATTAGCCGATAACGGTTGGATAATGTTGGTTTTATTGGCTAATGTTAAGATTATCCATTTGTTTTTGGTGGCTGAAGTCCGAAATTTTGACATTAGCCAAAAGCATTTACTAAACTTAAGATTAGCCACCTAATCTTAATATTAACCGTCCTTCAGACACTAATCGTAACATAAATAATAAATAACAAACATTTATAAGAAAAAAAGTCCATGGGGGACTATGACAGTCCCATTCGTTCCCCTGAGGATGCCATGTGTATAGAAATGTCAATACCATCCAAATCATAAATTATCAAATGCATATACTGCACAGTCCAAAATTTTCTTTCCTAAAACTTATTGAAAATGTTTAAGATAAAACAAATAATTTCCTTACGGATAAGAATCCAATACAAATTTCCCATGATTCAGAACGTCATTTATTATTTTCTTTTAACATTTTATGATATTTATTACTATTTTTCTTGTAAGCTACTTAAAAATTAAGAAATAATTTATTAAAGAATCATTGGTAACAGATTTTTTATTTATAAATGACTGTTAAACTTTTTAAATAGTCTTTCCACAACGAAAATTGATTACACACAAAAAAAAAATCAAATAATTATAAAATCAATACATTTTGCTCATTCATTCAGAATCTATTCATTTTATTAAATAAGTCTTTGAAAAAATGTTGTTATAAATTTCAAATACAGTAGCGTCGCAGTAATCCAAAGGAAATTGGGGGAAGGTTAATTTTTTCATATTATCAATGATTTTGTTACAAAATTATCTTGCAATTTAAACTTAATTTTATTTTTTTATTTATTTACTTTTTTTTTTATTAAACTGTGCAAAATTTGAGTACAATAATTATAATAATTTATTATTATTTTTTTAAATTAATTAATTTTATTATAAGTATATTAATTTATAAACATACTCATTTATTATTGAGATCAGTAATTTCTTTTTTTTTGGATACTTGGTTCTGCATTTTGCTCGAGTGCTATATCTCGTATACGTTTGAGTAACATTATTTCATCACATTTTATCTCATTATCTTCTGCCAATTTGAGAGTTCAATGCTTTCATGGCTTCTAAAGCTAATATTTTTGAAGCAGGCAAAAGTCATCTTCTTCGAAAATCTTCTCTTGTAACAGCATGCACCATGTCTCCATTGGCTAACATTGTTTGATACTGTATATATTCATCCTAACCACCTGATTCCCACTGTTGAATCTCAATTTCAGTGATAGTTTTACCTGGAGCTAATTTAGTTAAAAATTGGTTAAGAGTAACACTGTTGTCCTGAATTTTAGATGTTTCATTGTCAATAGTTAGGTGTGAAATTAGGTGTTTTTATGACATTTTAATCTGATACGTCGAGACCCTTAACCAACAATTAGCCAAATTAAAAACGACATCTTTAAGATTAATTTTTTTTAAATCTGCCCCAAAGTCGGTTCTTTTTTTTTTTTTTTTGCCCACAACATTGTTCGAAATTAATCTTTTTTGGCAATTAAATTTAATATTTTGGATAATATTTTGTTCCATTGGTTGAATAATAGCAGTTGTATTTGGTGGTAAAAACATCACAAACATTTTACCATCTTCACTGCGAAGTTCTTCAGTGGACGAATGATCTGGGAATTTATTTAAGAATAGTACTTTTATTACTTATAGCCTACATAGAAAAATGGATCGATGAATATTCGAAATGAAAGATGAATGAAAGATGAAAAAGATGAAAGATTCGTCATGAAAGATGACGATGAACATTAGAAATAAATTCACCGTTGAACCAATTAAAAAATAAAATATTTGTCACCCACGCATTTTCTAACCTAGGTACATACAGGCAGTACAGATGATTTGAAGTTTTAACGTAACATGCTTATGTTGATTCATTTTTGTGAACTACTTTCGACAAAAATGAAATCACTATAAACTAACGATCACTATAAAGTATGACACGTGACTAACAATCGTTATCGATGTATAAAGTCTTAACGACACACATGTGTGATATGCAGTCGTAATAATCGTTAAGATTATTATTTAATTAATCTACATCAGTATATAACAGTGACGATGTACACTTGAAGCCATTCGGATCACTACGTCTTTCGAATTATCGCGATGCTACTATACTTGATTCTATGATAAAAATAATAATAATTTAGACTTTGCACGTGTTAAGTGCAGTTTGCATACTTCCATATTATAAGTGCTATGTTTACTATTTTCCTTCAAGCACGGTATGGGTATTATTTTGAATACTTCAATCGAGAATCCGTATCAATGAAAAACATAAAATTGACTTGATAAGAAAATCATTATTGAGTAATTAATATTATATCGTTATATATCTTTTAAACAAAATTTAATAAATAAGTCGAAGTGAGCAGTTTAAGAAAAACGTTAATATTTATTTTTTACTGACTCAATTTTATTGTTGTAGCTGAAGCAGTTACAGATCATTCAATTGCTATGTAAATATTTTTCATAATATATACTTATAAAGACGAAACAGAATATTTATATCGAATAAATTAGGTATACGTACTTGTATTATACTTAGTGCAGTTAAAAAGTGTACGCAAAGTTACGGTTCAATACACAATTGTATTTTTATTCCTCCGTTTCAATTTCTACGTACGTCAGATATACTTCGGCCTTTTACCGTCAATAGAAAGACCTTTGGCGCAATTATCCTTAGTGCTGTAACATAATGTAACATATTATCTTAGAACTTAGGTGAATTTGCAGAAAGTTTTTTTGACTACAGGCGCATTGACGTTAAATTAACACATTTTTTCAACGTCTGCAAATTTTGCTTTGGTACCCGATCGAAAAAAATGTTTTTTTTTTTCATTTCATATGGAAAATGCTACATTTAGATCATTTATTAGGTATTGCATAGCTCTTTGATAGATAATATGTTTCTTAAGTAATCGCTAATATAATTTAAACGCCTCTAAAATACTATTTTATTTTTTTTATTTTTTAGTTAATTGTAATTTTTTAGAACATTTAATTTAAATTTTACGAAATGCCTATAATTAAATAAAAGCATTACGTAGATTCACAGAGATCATCGACTTTGCTGGTAATATAATAAAATTAATTTAATACTATTAAAAACATTTTAAAAAGTCTTTTATATACCTTAATATTGACAAAGGATATTTAACTTTCAATATTATATTTTCATTAGTAATTTGATTATTGTAATTGTTCATAAAAATTATATTATCCGACACCCTATAATTAAATGAGATACTTTTATTCGTTTTTACTGGAAAATTTAAGCTTATTACTAGGTATTATAAACTTTTTATTTTTCGTATTTTAAATGTAATACTAAAGTCAAAGTAAATTATAATAATTCAGAGTTAAAAAATGTAAGACATAATTCATTCAAATATTAAGTTTAACTTAAGTTTTATACTTATAGTTTAAATTTAGTGTAAATCGTATTATGAACAAAGGAATTATACACAGGAAAAAATTATTTTTACTAAACATATTATAAATCATTAAACTATCATGGAGTTTATAAAATATCTTATAATGTATATTAGGTAAATGTTTGCAGAAAAAAAGATGGTATCAATCTTCAAGGAGCATATTACAATAAAACAAAATAAATCCTTTGCTCTAAATTGCAGGAAAATAATACAAATGGAAGAGAAAAAAGAAATTTGCCGATGAACTACCAAAGAGAAATAGACAAAAAAGGGATCGGAAAGAAGTATGATGTTTTAAATTTACATTTTTTATAGACGCACCTTGAATGGACACTTTTTTTTCAGTATTAGTAATTTCATGGGTTCTCTCAATAACCGAGGAAAAACGTTATCGAACAGTAAAGCACCTTCAAAACCAACTTCTGCTACAAGGTATACAAATAAGTGAATAAATGTATTATGCATAGATCGTCATTGAAATCATTTATTTAAAATAACTATACTGTTATAGATTTTCCAATGCGAAAATATAGTACTAAAAATATACCATAACAATAACGAACAACTAAATAGCGATATTATAAAATATTTGAAGAAGTACAATAACTAAATTATTGACAAATCTGTTTTATGTAAAATTAACATATCAACTAGAATTCCTACTGGGATCCCAATTAATAAGTTTCCGTTGAAAACTTCAAAATTTTACCCGCCTCATTTAATTAGTCTTATAAACTTTATAAACTTTCTAAAACTAAAGTAGACAAGTTTTCAATAAAACCAAGTATAATGGCTTTAAAGGATACTACATACATTGTGAAACTCATGTGTGATACCATTGTTTGAAATGTTAATTTTATTAAACATTACTAAGCTTCAAAAATGAATTATTAACAGAGAGAAAGAGAGAGATCTTTGGCTGTAGCCACATTATTAGTAGTGAAGTAAAAAGACGAAAAACATTATTACTCCACTTTTGACGAAAGTTAACACACAAATCTTATTGTTATACTACTGTTTAGTCGTATGATATAACCCACACTGTATGACTAAAACAAAAATAAAGTAATAAATGTAGCTACATAATAAAATCCTTATAAAACTATTATGATACCCGTCAATAAACAGCAAATAACGAATAGCCGTTGTATTGACATGTTGCCTATCGCACTGCAAATCACAACCCATGACAGGACGGACATGTCATGTTTAGTTAAAACGTATGGGCTGATGCCATTATCCCTAACTTCTATCTCCGTAAAAATATTTCATGTATTTTCAATAGATTATAAAAATGATATATATACGAGTATATATATATACACGTTTGTATACTTTTAAAAGAGAGCCAATAACAGAAACTAAAAATGGAGCTATGATTTATTTAAATATAAAGTTCATATCGAGCGCATGCAACATATATTGTTAAATATTTGAAAAATAAATAAATGGATTTTCAGATAATTTCTGAGTATTAAGTATGTACACATTATAATATAGATGCCTATAATATTTACGTATAAAATATATCTTGACTAATAAATAACGTTTCTAAAATATATAACGTACTTAAGGAAATTGGCATCAGACTCAAATTATGGGGCTGAACCACAATAAATTTTTAAACATACATAAGTAAAATAGTGGCACTTCAAACATGAACATTATTAATTCCATTTACAGCCAAAACAAATGTTGAACACGAAACGTGGTATAGTAATGGATTGGTTGTATTTTTAGTTGAATTTCAATGAGATTTAATAATAAATAATTAACATAAATAGGTCTAACCAAAGGGAAATGTAAATTCCTGTTACAACTAATTTTTATTTTCTATGAATGATGATACATTTTACGATATTTTTTTATAACCTACTATAATATTGTTGCATAATAATAATTGACAATGATGTCGGTAAAATTCTTTGGCAAAATGGGATTCGAGTTTCTACGTTCAGCTCTGGCATATTTCCTTCATTCTTACATTCACATAACATTTTCTAAAAGTTATGCAGATAAAATATATAGGGATAACTATGGTGGAAGCAGAAAAGGATTAATATGCTACCTTCAAAAGAGTAGTTCGAATAAATAATTTAAATGTCTCTATAAATTAAACCCACGATCTTTCACATGTTAAACTACGTTCGGTTATGGCCAAATGGTACAAATGTGTATTTTGTTTACATCCAACGATCAATAATGCCCAAAAATACCAAAAATATTTAACTCTGTGAATTTTGTGATTACTATTAACGATGCATTTTAAGTTTAATGATAAACTATCTCAACGAAATATTTAAATTAAGTACAACGCCTGCTGGTTTAATGAATTAAATTGGCAAAAGGAAAAACCCATAAAAAACTAAAAATATTTTTTTATGACAAGTTGCTTAATATTCTGCCGTTGCGGATGTAATCTAGTCACGTCCATGGCCCTGTGTTTATCGAGCCATGCGGCTGATATTATACTTTTAATTTCTTTGTGTAATCTGCGTTCGTCAATAGATGATAAACCGTAAAACTTAAATCCTGCGTACGAAATGATACTATAAATATCGTAATCCATCATTATTCAGTCCGCGTATAGATATACGTTGCGGTTTGTAACACCTTGCATATAATTGAACTACTAAAGAATTCGTTAATGATCGTCAAAAATTGTAGACAGCAAATTATTTGAAAACAAAGAACAAAAAAGTAGCTATACAAGAGTCAGGTGAGAGACAAAAAAAGGTGACTGATATAGGTGAATGGTTTTTGTAAGGTTGAAATCACTTCACAATTATTAGTGAACGAGTGAATCAGTAACTATGTTATTACTATTACTACATTAATATATTAGTGTAATTATCTAATAATTTCGTAATAAAGTTTGTTAAGGCAACATTTACAGAAAAAATAATTTATATTTAAATGTTTTAGTTTTATTTAACTAATTTAATAATAGTTACAATTATTTTTATGAAAATTTAATAGTTATTATAGTATTCAACTTATGTATCAAGTCCTTATGGTTTCTTGTATTTCCAGATGGTGGGTGAATATAAAAATAAAAAAATAAAAAAACTCATTATAATTAATCTTTTTAGAAAACATAATACGGTTTAATCAAAGTATTCATATATTTAATTCAAAATGCTACGAATTTTCTATTCGATATTATTTAGACGGACACAAAAAAATTACATATTACGGTAAAATCTATAAATTAATAGTTTCATTCAAAATCTAAAATATAGTATTTTCCGTTTGATTATAAAATATAAACCCAAGCAAATGATTCGAATTTAATAATACTATTCCCTACAAAATCAATTCTAGTACGTTGTTAAACTGATACCACGAATGAAAAAAACAAGGTCTTAGAATTATTGTGTCGGTATATTATGTGGAGAAAATGACGAATGAAATGCGTACAAAAGAAACAAATAGGTACAACAGATTTTACCGCGTAATAAAATAAATGAAAAAAGTTTATCCTCTGTTTTGATCCGCTACAATACTACTCGTACATATTGCCAGGATTACTGAGCAAATGATTCCGTTAAACATAGTAGCTTGTTTTAATGTGGATTAAACTGTTTTGAACAGTTAGTCGCTTGAATAATCGCCCGTCACATTTAGATTAGTTTATTATTTTATACGAAAGTAGTTCAATTTAATATTTTTACGTATTCCTCACATGCGTATAAGTATAGGCGCAACTAGATCCCAAATATTGGGGATACTGAAATTTCTGAAAATAAAATTAACGGTATTTCATTATAATTATTATAAATTGACCTAAAAAATGAAAAAAGAGATGTGTTGCTCAGTTTTAACTCTGGGGCGCTAAAGACCCTTTTCTGCTCCCATAGTTTTGCCTACGTGTATAAGACTACATCGAATTCAATACAAAACATAATTGAAACAACGTGTTTTGTAAAATAATAACAAGGTACGCGATTATTTTTAAATTATTATTTTTTTTTTATTATTAATATACGTGTACAATGATTGCAATAACACTTCCTAATCTATTCAAGCACCGTTTAATGATCGTGTGTGTATCGCTGACTTAAAAATGATTGTATACATAAATTACTAATGATGTTTTAAACGCATTGGTGGAACAACAAATATTAATAAAAGTTGCAAATATTTCAAAACATTTTATAATACTGAACTACTTCCGTGCGACGCATTTTCTCGCAAAGGATTTTTTATTCTTCCTCCAACACTTAACTTGAATGTATTATTTATCGTTTTAACGTGTTAGTACAAAATTTATGTTTTATTTCATTTTTCTCAAGGTCATCCGGGGTTATTTATCCGATAAAAGTAACCCGGTCCGCGGTGAAAAAAAAACATTATTATTACTATCGCGTGCGGATTAATGCGTTTTCGATTTCTATTAAAAAAAAGAAAAAGAGCCAAAAGAATATCCGTAAAAAGTTTTGAAAGCTCTTCGCATCAGCCGAAAAAGACCTTTTCCCACCACTCTTTTTATTCTGTTGTGTTATATTATTATGTGTCATGATATAGTGAATGTGCACTAGAGCTAGTTGTGTTATATAGCATACAATAAAGTGTATGTATAATAAAACACTTAAATACAACACAAATTTAATGTCCTTCAATATACGAGTTTCAAACGAATAGCGTTTCCCAAAAACCCGTATATTAATCTAGTCTAATACGAAATAAAATTCCATTCTCTTTCCCTTTTTAGGTCGAATTTTAGTCTTATACTATATGAACATTTTAAGTGCATACTAATGCGAACGCATACAAATCGCTATCGATTCGTCCGGCCTTCGTCATTAGTGTTTCAATTATAGAAAGCGATACAAAGTAATGTATAAGGGAAAGGGCACAGGGTTTTGAAGGCAAATCAAGGGCCAAAAAAACGGAACAACACAATAAGTCGGTTATTAAAATGTTGAACAACGTTAAAAATATTCTTCTCGCTACTTATATTACATGTTATGATTGAAACACATTCGTCGTGGGCGACTAACGTTAAACGATCACAAAACTAATGGGTAGCCGGGGCCGCAGCGCACTCAATCCCCCTCGAGTCCGATCCCGGTCGTCGGTAGTCGAAAAGGTTATTGGTGGTGATGACGGTTGCTCATGTTTTCCGTTTCGTCGCAGGATGCCCGTCCACGAACCGGCGGCGGTTTACTCGTTCAACGAAGGACTCAACTCGGCGGCGTCGACACTAGCGTCCATCGTCAGCCGGCAAGCGTTTGACATATCGCGTGGCGTCCGGGTCGGCGACGGACGCGCGGACTACATCAGCGACGGCAGTGTCGAGGACGAAGGCGGGCGGAGTGCCATTGGCGGCCGTCTATCGTTGCCGAACATCCGGAGCGCCGGCGACGACGACGACAGCAGCATCAGCGCAGCAGCCGAGGCAAGAGCGCGACGCGACAGCTTCGGCAGCGGCCTGCGGATGCGGTTGGACGGCTTCGGCGGCGGTTTGTCGGTACGCCCGGACACTCCGGCCTTCGGTGACGTGAGTGCGAGGCGCGACCCTTTCGGCAGTCCGGTCACGCCTCAGATGTACAACGGGTTCAGACATCACGCCAACAACAGGGCCGCCGCCGCCGTTAAAACCGCTACCGCGTCCAGTTGATTATCCGCCGGAGGTGATCCGTAGTTCTTGCTCGCGTCCTTCGTCGGTGACCATCGCCATCGCTGACAGATAATATAAATCTATCGTTTCTCCGTGTCCCCGGCGGCACTCGAACTCCCGCGACTTCCGTTCGGATTATACCTGGTATACTTTCCAATCTCGATGTGATACCGGATTCGGTTCACGATTTTTTGTAAAACGTGCACATCCGCGTGATGCAGATACTGCGGAGTATAAGGATAAGAAATAAACGCGAACGAGAACATAAAAAAAAAAAAACCAATCGTTCTGACGACCACGAAAAGTGTGTACGCGCGCATGTACAATAAATACACATACGTTTATGTATCGTAGCGTAACATTTATTTTCTTCTTATTTTCCATTTATTATATACGTATAATGTACATATATATAATTACGACTTTTATTCTATAGACGTACACATAATATGATAGAATAAAACTCGTACTTTCCTCTTTACATTGACTACATTTATTGTTATGGTACGATATGTTGTATATACATCGATATTCAATTTATATTAAAATATAATATTATATATTGTATTAAAAAAAAAGTGTATTTTTTAATACAATAACTAGATACATGATATTCCTCTCGTGATCGTGTATTTTTTTTATTTAAGATTCTGAGATTTCCTTTTTTCTCTGTTTACTTTATTCACAACAAGTGCTTTGTTATTAAAATAACCTAAGGCGGTATGGATCCCGGGATTATAATCCCTTTGCTTGATTTTGAATCAAAATAATAGTTTACCAAATATTATTATTAGTATATCATTAAAAATTCACAGAAAATGTAAATTTTTTTCACTGTGTAAATCGTACGTTTAAAATTTGTACTTTTCCATATGATTATTCCGTTATAACCACTGTATATTTTAAATCATATGGTTTTCTAATTTCATAATCTATATAAATATTTTTTATCGCATGCGTTCATTGTTTTATATATTGATCAACTATTACTTCTTTATTTATTTTCTTTTTTATCCACGTCGTATTTTGTTATAATATATTAAAATTATTTTTAAACTCTCCTGAAATTAATAAAATTAATTTTTAAAATAAAAAAGGACATTTAATACTCACAATACATTTAGTTTCACAAAGTAGCGAATAAAAAATTTAATTGTATTTTTAAAACGTATTAAACTTGTAGTTTATTTAAACGATAGATTTTTTTTTTTTAATTAGATAATGTATATTAAATATAGCTACACCGTTTTATATCTCCTCCCAGGCTATCTACACGTGTACCGTATAGTAAAATCATAAATACTATATTACGTCAAGTATCATAATGTAAATCATATAATAATACAACGGGACTGTATTTTTAATTAAAAATTTATAATTTCTTATAAAAAACATTCTAAATAGCATTATGTAATTATAAAATACGAAAAATAAATACTAAAAGTTTTAAAATTAAAATCTATTAAAAAGTTCCTACCGAGTGTTTTAGTTAAAAAATATACTGTATTTAAAGAATTCAATTTGACTTGGCGTAAATTTTTTTTCTTCCGAATACTCATTATAAATCATTTTGTATTGGATAAAAAATGAGTTTAATGAAGTAAAACAATTCGTTTAGTATTTATACGGATATATATATATATATATATATATTTATATTACATCACAACAGCAAATTTACATTGTAGAACTGAAATCATGTAAATCATTAAAATAACTAACGAGTACAAAAAAATAATTATTATTGTGTGATTTCGAATAACCCAAATTACAAAGTTATAATATACTCGTATTTATATGATATAATATTATGAGGGCATTGCGTAATCCACCGAAGTTGTCATTAGCTTACTACATTTAATATTTTAAATAATCTGCTATAATAGTAGATCATTCACCGTTTTAAAACACAATTTTATAATCACCTATATTATTTCAAAATTCGATAACATTAAAATACTTGAACTATACGTATTTGGCAAACAAAGTTTAAACCAGATTATCTATGAAACATAGTACGTGACCATAAACGAAATTAGTGCTTCAATGCTCAATACTAATTAAATATTCAGGGGCCTTAGTCCCTCATCCCTATTTTCGTGTATATCTTTGACGAATTTTCTAACATTCCAAAGTCAGAAAAGCATTTAATAAGATGAGTTACGTATAAAAAATTCTGAATCAGTATACTGCTAAACTACTATCCCGAGTGAAATATTATTTATGGTGTCATTATACATATTAAATGTAATAAAACCACTTTTTACCATTCATACTTAATAAACGAATAATACAACACTATGTAGCCATTTTGAACCTTAGATTTATGCAATGTGTTAAGAATATACGAGATAATTTACGAGATTCAAATTTATGATAAATATATGAAATTTGAAATGGAAAAAATAAAAAGTTGATTCCATATTGTCTGTATAAGCATTAACATGATAATTAATGATCAAATGTAGGAAGAATTCAACTTTAAAAGAAATTTTACATAAAAAGTAATTTTAGAATTGAGTATCATGTTTTTCACGATTTTTTTAAGTTTGTAGACGCAACTATTAACTATTAACTAAATAAACTCGATTAACATGCGTATATATCGATTAGATTTTGATCACGTTCGAGTAAAAAATATATTCCATATGAGGCATGTCGTTCAACGCTTGTTTCTTTCAGTTCATCACGGAGTTATAAATGCCTAATGGATTATTAAAATATATTATATTGATATTATCGTATTCGTGAAAGAATATCGAACGAATCGGCCAAAATTTATTAAGACTTTATAAGAGTGAAAAACCCATTTGGTATCCTAGAAAGTTTGGTAATTTTTTTTCAAGACAAAAATTGTGCATGTTTCAAATATAACTACAGTAGACAACCTGCAATAAGTTGGTAACTTGCGGAATGCGGAAGGCAGATAATCGGACCGTCAACATGTCTTATTTAAATGCATTAATTACATTTTAAATTTTGTAAAGAATTTTCATAGTGAATAATAAATAGTGTTAAATGAATAACATGATAAAGTAATGAATTGAATATTTTATTTGATTTATCATTATTATATGATATTATTTGACTTGGATTACAGTTGTCACATAACGAAAGTAATTTTTTTTCCGTGAAACTCGTTTATTTATTATTTTTATCTTCCGGATTCCAGTAGAAATTACATGCCGACCACTGCTATAACGTGTTCGATTATTGCTGTATTTACTCGTATAATCATAAGACTACAAAAAATCATTTTCAATGTCAGAAAATATTAACGAATTTTTAACTAAAACAAAAAGTTTATATTTAATTGTTTTAAATTATTTATGAAGCATACGATGAAGCATAAGCATGGTTACATAAAGTATTTTTTTTAGAATATTTGTTTTTTTTTCGTAATACAATGACGTTTCTTAATTAATTTAGAAGTCTCAAAAATGAAAAGCACATTATGTTTTTATCATATTTGAAGAATAAACTTGAATGAAATGATTAGGTATGTTCTAAAACCGCCTCCGGATCACGCGACCCACTACTGCTGCCGCCGGTGACTCCACCTTCATGACCTGCTATCGCTCCTGCCACCACCTCCACCTCCGTCGTGTGATACGATATCATAGGCATGAAACGATACCACGAAATTATCAGGAATGATAAGAATAATTTTATGAGAAATAACTTGATAAGAAATATGTGATAAAACAATTTCGAATAACTACCGGGTAGTCTAACCTGCTATGATTTGGTCAAAACCTGCACGACAACTCCCACTATACAATAAGAAAATATACAGCGTTATCCCTTCATAATCATGAGATTGAAATCAATCACTCTCCGATCATTGCAAGCTATACTCATCTGCTCTCGTTTTTAATTTTTTGTACAAGTATTTTTAAATATTTTAATATGGTCGGTTCAATCGTAGACAACGCTGCTGTATACGAGAAATTCGTTTATACATCACTAACACCACCATGCAACCTAATCAAATCATCAACATTCAATATAAATTTCATGACTCGCAAATTTGTTAACATTGGATTGGATCCCGCAGATCATTTCAGCGTAGTCATTTATACTATAACACAATCTCGACACGTATATATTTCAGTGGACTTTATGCGGAGAATATTTGCGCTTGTGGGTACTATTCTATTGGTTATACTTGAAAAAACGTAAAGTATTAACGGGTCATATTTTTGGAAACCGATTCTTTTCTAGTACCAGTATAGTGTATCAAGGCGAGAGTGATAAAAGGTAAGAAACAAGTTGGTTGCCATAAACTACTCAATCACATAGATCTAATAACTCTACAACATTTATAATGGAGTACGGTATATTTGTGCCAATCGTGCGTAAGAATACATTCATACGTGTTTCGGTTTTACGGCAGTTCAAATAAATAGCCGACTATTTTAAGCAAAATTTTAAAAGATCTCAAAATTTGAAAGATATGGCAACTATTTTTAGAAACATAAGTGATAATTTAGTTTCAAATCATATACTTAGAAATATGTCGACCTTTGTAAGCCATCTAAAACTATTCGCAACTACTCAGTTAGCTGAACAATGTGTGATGAAAATTGAAACGAGGTATATACTTTACTATATTTATTACCTTATTATTATACCACATTTTATTACAGTCAGACCTTTGTATATTGTAATTCGTTCATGTTATTCAGTATGACAACTTTAATATCGGACGAGCTACATTGCAAGGGATGCTGTATAATATTAAATGTTTCGAAAGAAAACTATAAATATCGACACTAATCATTGGTCACTTATCCTTGACGAAATATATACTGTAAAAATCGTTAAAATTGTTCGAAAATGATCTCATAATATAAGAGGGGGTTTATCTCCCCTTATGGTGCGTAATACACACTAGGGAGGGGGCCAGAGAATAAAATCAGTAAAGTTATTTGAAATTGTTTTATCGTGTATATCTTATCAACTTATTCCTGATAATTTCATGATGTTGCATCACGCGGTGGTGTCGAGAAGTTGTCGAAGTGGTCACGGTTGTAGTGATATATGGTAGATGTCCGCGAGTGCGAGTAGAGTGGAACGGTGGTTGGTGCGGTTGATGGTGTAACGCGGGAGGTGAAGTTGGTTCTAGAACATACCTAATCATCCTACTAACTTGGTATAAAACAAGACTAAATTGTATACCTATAAGCGTACGCATATTGTGATCGATTAAAAACGAACTGAACAACTTTGCAAATAAACAAACAAAAATATCTACAGAATAGTCATAAATATTTCATTTAATAAAGAAAAAATCCTTAACCATCCTGTGTAGTTATATATGAGAGGTCTTCTATATGTAACTATTTACTCTTTAATTATGTTTAATCTTCTTAAGTAATTTAGAAGCTAATTTGTTTTCAATTCTATCAATGGCTAGGAAATTTATTATTTATAACACTCACTAATATATAATTAAGCATTTTAGAGTTCGTTTCTAATAATACTCAATAATGACCCAATTTGATTTACATT